ACATAAGTGTTCACTGTGAAAACGCTTCGAATGAGGAGATACGATTATTTACTAATAATGTGATCTCTTATATCCTGGTTTCCTGACCAAGGCTGGTCATCGAAATGATAAGAAGTTTAATTTAGTTTCTGAGTGTATAAGCTGTATTCTTATGTTTATATTTGAATTAATCAATGAAAGTTTATGAAAGCTAAGAGTAGTGCAAGTGTGGTGAGAGCTGGCTGCTAGCCAAAGTTGGTAGACAGTAATTGACGTCAATGTTTGTGTCCCCAATATTGGTGGTGAGAAAATGAGAACAAAGGCTTTGCGTAGGCGGATACAGTTAGCATATGGATGATCTGACACAGCCACGAAGAGATGCAAGGTTAACTTTCTGTGAGAAACAACCAATCAAAAGAATGTATTTTCTACTAACAATGATCTACAATAATGTACATTAAAATCTATAAATATGTGTTGATTTTCGTTAATACACGATCTGTTGCCTGACCCTTGTCTTCTGTTGTTACACAAGTTGTTTGGTTGGAATCCTCCTAGATACTTATTTGAACTGACTAATTCTTATAATCTATATGGACACTTTCTGGCATATTTAGAGGTTTTCAGTGGTGAATCTAGGTCATGTTAGTTTGTCATTCAGTGTATATAAGTGCACTTATATGAGTTTGCGTTCCTGCTGCAACTTAGAGCTAGTAAATATTAGTTCAAATGTTAGAAAATGATCACTGCAGTCCTGTAGACTGAGAATGCAAAAAGAATGGAAAGTGGAATAAAAGCCTACTCCAGTTCAAAAGATGTAACTAATGGAAACACCACCATTTCTGTCAATGAAGGTCCAGCCAAATGATGAGTTTCGAACAAGATGAAAAGTATGTTTTGGTCATCACTACAATGTTTTTAACAATGATGTCATTTTTAGATTTTAAATATCAAAACCTGTATAACACAAATGTTGACAGGGCATTTAATTTTAACCCACTTCATGTCAATAAACATTAATCGTGTTGAAAACTAACAATTCCATTCTCTTTATTAGTAAATTAACGACACAAGGTAATTTTGCGGATCTTAACCATCGAACAGTAACAAAAAATATGTAAGGAGATTCAATCAGTGTAGTCGGTTGATTCAGCTCTGCAGAAAGATATTTGCTTATGACATTAGCTGACTGTGAGATCGTAACGAAATACTGGTAGTTGGGAATGATGAAACAATGAATTCTGAGCCATCTTGCTGATAGTAGTGTGGTTGCCTCGTAAACTGGAGCTGTTTCACTTGATTCCTCATGAAGTTCATAGTACATGTTGCTGAAAGAATGACTGTATAGTTCTACTTGGATGTTTTGCTCCCTACCAGCTATTATAATGAAGTTTATAATGAAGTCAAACTAGAAAGGTGGTATTCAGATTTTCGTCATTTTAATATGGACCCCACTTATAGTATTTGAGACATTCCTGGATTCTCATTTTCATCAACATAGAATGATATTCTTCAAGGAACACATTATATGAACCTAGGCATTGTTAACAGACATATCACTGGATGTTTTGAAAACTCGTGTCCAGTATTAGGTGTGATCATAATTATAATGCACTGTTATTAATTTCTTCCTTCGAAATAATGGAGGAGATCTGAAGCTCAGGTGGACGTGAGGTTATTTCATTACGGATAAGATTTTATTTTGATAAATCATACAGTGTTACACAGTAATATTAACTGATGACGTTTCGAGCACAAATTATTGCTCATAATCATATCAAGTTACTCGAAACGTCCTCAGTTAATATTACTGTGTAACACTGTGTGATTTATCAAAATAAAATGTTATCCATAATGGAGTTACACTCTACCACAGTGCCCAAGTTTTATACTTATATCGACGTGAGGTTATGTTCTTTCAGTTGCATAGTTTAATCGTGAAACTTTCATTATTCTGCAATTTGAAGTCATCTCTGAAGATGTCAAGATGGACAATGACAAAAGCTTCACAATTATTCCTTTCTATTGTTATTTGGTAGATTTCACGATAGAATATTTCTAAACTGATTTGCTCACGTCATAGCCAAAGTGATTCCAATTTTAGGTGTCCTTCTACAGTTACACCACACTATGATGAGCAATAAACATCCTCTTCTAAATGCAAATGAAGCATACGGTTAATATCTGCAATGCATCATTAAGATTATAAAAGATCAGGCTTTTTTGCAATCAGGATTTTTAAGTGTGATCGTAAATGTGCAGATTTTCCAGTTTCCTTTTTTTTTACTCCGGAAAATTTTTTTAATCTAACTGACCTTAATTTAAGACATCACGTCTAGACAAGAGATTGAAATTTTTCATACTGTAAATAGCACACACATACACACATAAATAAATACAAATAAACGTCCTAATAATAAAATGAAACAAAAAACTAACTCAATTCATATATACATATGCACAGAATAACGTCAGCTGCCTAGATTAAACATGTTATTTTTACAGTAGTGTAACGATCCTAATTGCAACTAACATTATTATGAAGGGTGTTTCACAAAAATGCCTGCTCTCTTGTGGTATTATATATATATATATATTCTCACCCTAGATCTTGCGTTTATATTAACAGACAGTCAGCTTTTATCTAAAAATTAGCACAACAGAAATTTAAAAATTGAGTGAATTCAGATCCCAATTATGGGAGAATTTCTAATATTACCTCTAAGCTTCCTGTGTAATATGGTCTACTCAATGCGAAGTGAAATGGTTCACTTATACTTCAACTGAAAGTGAATATCATTTTCAGAGATCCTAATTGCTTTATTATCACAGCTATTTACCTCAGCAAAGTTTTCAAATTAGTTGAAATGACTGAGTAACAGTTTGTAAAAAGAAGTTTGGTAAACAAAACTAGTGGGGAGACAGATTCCCAACGCGTATGCTGCGCACAATCGATGAATTACAGTGTCGCTAAACGCTATGCGACGACCTATACTGACTGACCTGGATCTAGGGTTAGCCGGATCATGTAGACCGACAACCTAAACTGACTATTTTATTTATTCTCAGCTATGCTTACCCGTTGCGTCATGTCATGTAGGTGGGTGACACAAATATTTTCAACTGAAACTATCCAGATAATGCAAACGACTTCAGTTTACTCGAACCTTATTTCTTTCCTTTCATAAGCCTTCCTTTATATTGAGGTGCTTTTATGAAACTGCTTTCTTTACAAAGAAACAAACCACAGTCTTAGTTTACATGCAGAAAATTCTTTATATTTGCTTTGGGATATGCCCACATTGTAGAAATTATCATTCTGTTTCCATAAATACGGGAATTAATTCACTGTGTATAGATGTTCATCTTACAGAAAGTATGCAGATGAAATAACATGTATGTATTAAGTCATGAAAATCATAAAGTTGTCTGAAAATTATTCATCAGCACTAATCACAGTGACCAAAAGGCATACCATTTTATCAAACCGGATGTGACGCATTAATAAGAACTGATAAGAAGAAAAACTTTGAAATGATAGTTGAAGTTAATTATTTCGAGACAGGATACATTTGAATTGTTCACATTTTGATCTGCTTTCATCTTAGGTGAACTCTGAAAGTATCTTATGCAAGAGATAGATCACGTTTATGCAGACATTTTGCAAATTACATTTTCACATTTGCAGATATTTTTTAAAAATAAAATGAACAGTAGTCGAAGTTATCAGCTACAGGCAAATGGTTTATTATCAGTGATGATAATAATAGCACTAATAATAATAATAATAATAATAATAATAATAATAATAATGGCTTTATTCAGGATTTATCTCCTTCTGTTTGTGAATCTCATTTTAGCTAACTTGGAACGACATTAGAACCGACATTGTTGACTTTTCACTGACTGATTGACGCTCTCTAGTACAACTATTGTTACTACTAGTTATGTAGTTTATGAGAAATTGACTGATTTAAAGATAGCTTTCACCAGGAAGTAATGGTGAGTAGTAATATTGGTTGACTAATCCGGTAAAGGAGGAGGATTGTGCTTGAAACTGGCAGCTCCACCCCATAAAACCGAGGACACCGATAGTGAAACCTGCAGGGCTTGAAGTTCTACATTCCACTCGGAAAGCGAGAAATGAAAAGAAATCGGAGACATTATTTTCATCATCAAGGCATATGCAAAGTTACTCATTTTTCTGCGAATATCGATGTTGTAGTGATTTCTGTTTTCATGACCAGCTAAATAGGAGCTATCATCAGTCTTGAAGTCAGTCAATAAAATAACTCCATTCCAACATTCGTCCATCAAATAAATAAAAAAGAATTCCCGGTTGTCAAAATCAATAATTTTTCGAGCATTGTATGTTCGCCTTTCACACCAATGGTATACTTTACAAGTAAAGAAGCGTATTAATCACTGGTAACCGATATTGAAAGTCCAATATTTATTTATTTATACTACACAAACAATAATCGTTACTCAGAAAAGAAAACAGTCTTTATATTAAGCCATTTCGAGTAGTATGAATTTTGATAATAACCTGTGCGTCTGCATTAGCACAATTAATTTTTGCTAACACGTTTTGTGTGGTCACGCTTATCAGCTTTAGCTAGTTACATAACCTGTTATAATAAGTAATAGTCTGTTTGACATCTGTTTTAACACATGTCAGCCTGCATATTTAAGGATACATATGGATCGAAAAACACTTGATTCTTTCATGGTAACTTACAATACCAATTAAAATTTGGTGCTGTTTAACATGTCATTTCGACTGATTTTGTTGAATCTCTTCCTTAACCAACTTGAATCGCTTTGACAAAGAGATAGAGCAAGTGTTATCATGACATGTGCAATGAAATATATCTATATATATAATTCACATATGTTTACGATCGATATAAAGAAATTAAGTTAATCAATACATAATCTTCTTATAATACCAATTTATAATACGTAAATTTTCTCACTGAACTGTCGCATTATTTAGTCTGTTGGGAAGTAATTTCAAAATGTCACATTATGCTACTGAAATAGCAGTCATCACTATATTGTTGTATCTTAAAGTTATAGAAAGTGTTCATATTATTTTTACACCAAATGATCCGATTGTTTATAAAGATGTGACAGAATACATTCAACTTTGTATTTTAAATACTGACCATCAGATGTACTGTGATCTGGATGAAAAACAAGTTTATTTTAAGTCGGCTTACTGTGAAGTTTATCTTTTACACGAAGATGGAACAAATTATACACATGTTACTACAATTGAGCATAAAATTGAAACAAGTTTATTGAAAACCCAAGGAGTATATCAGATAAAATGTTACTTGAAGAAGGACAAAGGCAATATAGAAGTGGACACTTATACAAACATTTTACTGCTGAATTCCTCTAAACTATATTTAGATTGTTCAGCAAGATCTAAAATTATTGATTTGAATTACTTAAAGTCTAGATATCCTCTGTGCTGTTATCATGTTCCAGTGAGAAGTATCTGGCTAAAACTATTACAACGAAATGTGAATTTATGTCAGCGTTATTCATGGAATGGTGATGTAGTCGATGTTTACAGTGAACTGAAGTGTTTCACTACAATCAGTCAAATTTCAGTTCATGAAGATTACATGTACATAGATGAGCGGTTCGCAAAAATATTACCGACAAGTGTTACAGTTGGATGTGAAAAAGAATCATATAAGGAGATTATTTATTTCATCGGTAAGTGATAAACACTAATTGTATGTATTTCAAAGTAAATTACTCATAATTTGTCACGTTATTAGTATAATTGGCTGTGAAATTCACTGTGAATGATCACAAACAAAATAGGTTGATGGGAAATTACAATAATATTACTTGCTATGTTTGTTATGGGTTGAGATGGTCTTAAGTTATGAAGTCTGGTGTGAGATTTTACATTGTTGCTTTTTTCACAGTTTGTAAATCAAGAGATCCCTTACAGTTTCATTTTGCAGTAATCATCATTTTGTATACCTCATTTGTAAGTAAAATAAATGAGATTTTAATTTCTGTTTCTAACTGATAATTTCTTTTCGCTAGCATAGTCTTATCTGTTAATTTAATTACTGATGGTATATTTTGCACAAAGTCTATTAAGATAACTACCATGCAAAACAACAAGGAGGGTAAAATTTACTACGTCGATGAACTTGTAACTATAGACGTTCAAAAATAAATGAAGCATGAGGTGGTACAGTGAATTCATAAAACAGTTGAATTGCATTTTGAACATGCAGAAGCGTAATCGAATCTATTTTGCGATATTCGGTGAAGTGGGTTTTATAATTTCTGTTGCACGTTTCACTCTCTAAAGTCTTATTCTGCCGTACATTTTAATTTATTGATAATTCCGATAGACATTATGACTGAAGCATTTCTCGGTCAATTACTGAAGTTAAATACTGTTTTCGTCAGGAATTGTAATTGGATATATTTTTATGTAGGAAAAAGTTGCCAGTGAAGATGTTGGGTAATGTTGTTAATTATGAAGATTTTGCTCAATCATCTGAAGAATTTAAACTTCGTGACTGGGGTTTGTTTGATGAACTTCATTAATGCACTGTTAAAATTACAATGATGTGATGCTAAATTGACTGGGGTGATACAGCTGAGTCTGTCATAAATTCAGTCATATTTAGAAGACGTTGTCGTCAAAACCATTTTGTTTCCTGTTTGTCGTGTAACTTTTTCGCTTCTGCAAATATTATTGTTTTCGTTGCCACACTTTTTTCCTTTCTTTAACCTCTTTCTAGATATGCTTAGGTGAAACACTGCAGCTCTTACTGATCTTCAACAATCTCGGGTCCTGTGTCGTATATTCATGTTGCATTCATGCATGTATCAGTTGGAATAATATTTATGACCAAAGATTGCCTCAGTTAGCCAATACCTATGTTTGTTAATAAGTTTGACTAAGGATTTTATTACATTCATTAAATTTCAAGGTTAGGAATAAAATTAAGTAGATTTCTTTTGAAGAATAAGGTGAATCAAAGATGTGTGAAACTGCTTGACTGTTTATGATGACGACAGTGTTGCATGCGCAGCTGGTGCAGTTTTGACCTCTTAATTATTTACAAAATTCCGCCTACTAATATTTTCCCTGTTCCATCTTGTCAGGTTCTAAAAGTTGTGTAGTTAATTTTCTGACAAGAAAATATTTCACTTGAAATATTCAAGTGTCCAGCCCATTTACCATTCAGCCGCAACTCATAAACCATTTTCGTACATTTGAGAAATCCCACACCAAGACGAAAAAGTTGTTTGGTTTTCAGTTGTTTTCTAAGTGAGGTCGTTTCGTTATCTAACTGGCAAAATACGTAAACAGCAATTATACCACCTCCTGACATTAACATAAGTCTGTAACGTGAATGGGTGCACGAAGAAAAATAAAGCACCGAACAGAACACTAAATTTAAATGTGTTCAGAAAATCTCACTTCATTATTATTATTGTTTCATTTAGTTCCTAGAAAAACATAGGGCCTCAGCCACACGTCTCCATTGTGTTCAGTTCTCCGCCAACGTTTTCACCTGGCTCCACGTCTGCCCACATGCTTTCATCTACTCTTCACATGAACTTCTCCAAGTCACCCTTGCACGACCAACTCGCCGCTTCCCTTTCGGGTTCCACTTGAGGGCCTGTCTAGTGATGTCACTTGATGGTTTCCTCAGAGTATGGCCAATCCACCTCCATTTCTTCCTGCTTATTTGTTGCACAATCGGTTCCTCGTTGGTTCGTTTATTCCCAGAGATCCCAGTTGCTAATCTTTTCTGGCTGGCCATCTGATCTTGAGTATTGAGCGAACACAGCTGTTGATGAAAGTCTGCAGTTTGTTAGAAGTGCCCTTCTTGACGCGCCAAGTCTCTGATCCGTATAGTAGCACTGACTGACTTCACATAGGAGTTGAAAATCCGGATCTTATTTTTGATGCTGAGTGCTGTTGACCTCCACACAGACTTGAGAGTAATGAAAGCTTGCCTTGCTTTCCCGATCCTTACTTTGATATCCTCGTCATTTCCGTTCGCCTGTAGTTGAAACGATGCTTCCCAGGTAAGGTAAAAGAGGTTGTTTCTTTCAGGTTCCTTCCACTTATGCTGATTGTTTTCTGTTGCTGTTGGCCAAGAATCTTCATCACCTCTATCTTCTCTACGTTCACCTGAAGTCCTATCTTTGATGCTTCTTCAGTCAACTTGTTGCTTTTCACTTGCATATCTTCCAGTTTGTGGGAAATGAGAAATATATCATTGGCGAAGTCCAGATCCTCCAAGTATTTTGTGTGGGTCCATTTTATGCCTGTTTCCTCGCTGCCCACTATCTGTGACAGTATCCAGTCTACTTCAATCAGGAAAATCATTGGAGATAGTGGTCAGCCTTGTCTTACTCCTGTCTTCACTTCGAAGGATTCCATGAGTTTCCCGTTGTGGATTACTTGGCACGCAGCATTGTCGCACAACTTGGATGAGATGCATATTTGTTGGCGGTAACCCGTAGTAGCGAAGTAGTTGCCAAATCACCTCTCGATCGACGTTTTCTGATGAAGGCCTTTTCAAAGTCAATGAAGTTGAGATAGAGAGCTGACTGCCATTCCAAGCTCTGTTCAATGATGATCCGTAGTGTTGCGATTTGATCGATGCATGATTTGTTTCTTCTGAATCCAGCCTGTTCCGGTCAAAGTTTTTCGTCCAGGGCTTGTTTGATTCTCTCCATTCTTTGGCGTAATCAAGTCCGCTGTTGTTTCTGGGTCCATTTTCAATGCTTCTGCTGGGATTCCATCTGGTCCTGCTGCTTTTCCAGCTTTTAGCATCTTGATTGCCTTCAGGACTTCTGATTTCGTCAGAAGGTTGATTTCCACTGTTAGCTCTGCTTCCACTGTTGGTATTATTGGGAGCGTTGTAGGTGGCGGTCGATTTAGAAGTCTTTTGAAGTGTTCAGCCCAGTGTTTCCTCTGCTCCACCTCTTTGGTGATTGACTTCCCCTTGTCATCCTTCACTGGCTTAATTTGTGTTGATCTTTTCCCCGATAGGTACCTAGTAGTTTGGTAGAGTGTTACGAGGTCTCCATTGCCTGCAGCTTTTTCTGCTTCATTTGCCATAGCTTCATAATATTTTCTTTTGTCTTCCCTGGCACTCTTCTTTACTCTTTTGTTCAGTGTATTGTAGCTTGCATTCAACTCCTGTTTTGTTGCTCATCGATGCACTGGATAATCTTTTGTTTCAACATCCTTCTCTCTTCTATTAGTCTCCTTGTGTCCGTAGTGAGCCACAGTTTGTCCTGTCTCTTCTTTCTGTCCAGAACTTCCATGCAGGTTTGACTCCATACAGCTTTCACGTTATCTCAGTTCTTTTCAACGCTGGTCTCTTCGTTTGTGTTGAGTTGTCTCTCCGCCTTTTTCCTTATGATTTCAGTGAAGATGTTCTTTGTGGCCTGATCTTTCAGTTTTGAGTATTGAACTTCGCTGTGGTCTATCTGCTGCTCCTGTTTCTTTGAAAGCTTTTGATTTGATTTGGAGTGTTCCTTGTACGAGATAGTGGTCTGAGCTAACGTCTGCTAATCTTCTTGCTTTTGTGTTCAGTAAGCTGCGCCTCCACTTCCTTCAGCAGTATTGGGATGAAGTCAGTTTGGTTTTTGGTTCGTCCATCTGGTGACACCCATGTAGCCTTGTGGATTTCCTTGTGTTTGTATGCGCTGCCACCAATCACTAGTTCATTGAAGGCGCAGAAGTCGGCGAAGAGTTCTCCATTATCTTTCACATAATTGGAATCCTTTATTTATCCTTTTCCCCCATCATGTAAACGTAAAATGTGAATGAGTGAGACATAAAGCCAATGTCTGAAGTGAGATTACCAAAAAACCCTGAACTCAAAATTATGTCATAATATTCATATCATCTAGAAACCCTGTCACGGCAAAAACCAAATGTTAGAATCTGAAATTATATTTTTTCCTTGAATAGACATCACTTTCCTGGTAAGCGTGAGTGAAGATTAATTATTTTTAATGTTGCCAATCCCAGGCAAATTTGCTGTGTTGGATATAAGAGGACTAAAGATACGGTTTGTTGATCTAGTCGTGACCTTGCATTAGCTTCAGTTACTTTATATGTGCTCCTTAGAGTTCACAGAAAAGTAGTCATTTCAGGTACTGCGCAGCAAATTTAACCGAGGCGTGACTTGATACCAAAGCCTGTAATTTGTCAGTCATCATTTGAAGGAATGTAGCAAAGCTAAAAGACAAATTGTTCTGGGTTCTAATACTTCGCCTTTCAAGGTTTGTTTTGTACGTTTAATAATAATGTAGTCTGAAGTCAATGCACGAAACTATTGATAGTCAGTCCAAGCTGTGTGTTAAAATGTAGCTAGACTGCATGAAGGAGATCCTTAAGGAGCTGTAATTCAGCTACTGAAATTGCTCAAAGTATCTCAGTATCTTTATCACTGTATTAATCGTTTGTGTCTTTACCATCACATCAAATTTCTGCTTCTTCTCCTTTATTTCACTGTAGCTTTGCTTTGGTTATACATAGTTCTTTGTTCTGCTATCGTGTCAAACTAGCATAGAGCTGCAGATGTAGTAATATCATATCCACTCCATTAAAGGCGACATTCGCTTTAGTGAGTGAATCAGTTACGACAAAAGGGCTTCACACTTAAAACTGATACTGATATATCCTATAAAAATATGAATAGAGTATGAAGAAAAACAGTTTTCCTGGTGCAGAGGTTATAATAGTTGTAATAAAAATCCACAAAGTATGTTAAACATCTTTTGATTAAATGTCATAAATAATCTTCACTTAATTATTCCCTACTCTGCATAGATGTTAATTTATTGCAGTATCATTCTGTTTCTTCTCCCAAATGTTTTTGTGGTTTTCTGAAGTGTGGCAAACTGAATTGATGGACTTATATGCAAAGTTCCACACTGACCCGTATTAATTTGTTGACTCAAAGATATAACTTATCACTTTACGGAACAACGCTCAGACGCCAAGCTCACTGGTTCAGCTGCAAGTAACAGGACATGTACACGCACACCTGTTCACAGTGCCACTTCTTGTGATAGCTTTATGTATGTAATGGAAATGTCCGAATTTTGGGCTTATATATCTCACATGACATGCATTTATCATAATTTTCAGTGTTCTTTTTCCCTTTTTCCATTTCATTCAGTGTAAAGTTGCAGCCATCTATACGAATTCTCTATTCAGATATAGGGAATAGGGTTAAAATTGTTTGAATTGCTTTATAAAGAGTCGTCAGTAGGGTGATGGGATGATACTCGATAAAACTTCCTCTCAGAGCAGTCCCTTAAGCTGTGGATAACTTAACTCTCAAATAATGTGTCTACGCCACTAATGAAGGAGGAGAACGTAACTGACAAATATAACTATCTGTATAGTCAGTTTTTACCTCACCAGTAACTTTGCATTTTAACAATGAACTAATAAATTATCAGTGAAATAAACTTAGATCAAGTTTAGAAGCATTGACCAAAGGTATTTATTTCTGTTGATCCTAAAGAGGATTTATTTCATAGTGGATATTCTCTGCTTTTATGAAATCATGATTCCATTTCACTCATTTTTATGCTTTGGAATAGATGCAGAAATTTACCTTCAAATTACCAGCATGGAGCTAAGCTCTCAATTTACAGTGAAAAGTATTTGCGAAGACTCTATTTAGTGCTTCGCCTTAAAGACAGCAATGCATACTGCATTAATCTTAGGATGTGATTCGTTTAAAAACTATTAGGCGTTTGATGGTTTTCACTTATTGAATATACCTCAGATTGCAGTAACTTTTTCATTGTGTTCCATTATGTTTAGCCTTTCTCTAATATATTTATCCATCCAGCTATTCCATCATTCTATGCAATGAAGTTGATAGCTTATTATGAATGAACACATTTGGTCAGAAACAAAAAATTAAACCTAGTTTCTGCCAACTGACTATATCAGACAAAGTACTGAGTCATTTATTCCCATTAACGGTGATAATAACATGGTATGTTCAGTTAGGCTGGTTAGCTTCTAGCAATCAGTAACTGATTATCTAACAGTACGGTAAAATAGTTCATGAATAATAATAAGTTTATGCTAGTATATCTAACCATCTTGTATTTTTTTACTTCTGTTTGATGATTAGATCCTCCTAAGCAAACACTTGTTATTCATTCTGAACCACCGGGTCATATTCTGTTCCTGCATTCACATAAGTTTATAAGTTTTTGTTTTTCTTGGACTGATGATACGCTATGCATCAATCCACTGCCACAAGAAAACTTGGTTCAATGTTCTGTTCAGAAAGACTATCAACTTCCAGGGGAAGCTGATGAGAATTTCAAAGTGATCTATTTCAATAACAGCTTTGAATTAGTCAATATCAAAGATGGAGCTTATCTGTTCACTTGTTTCCATAGGCCAACAAATATTAAAAATGTCTTTCATAAATTTATTTTCAAATACCCCAAGTACAAATTGAACTGTAGTATGTCACCCAACGTTTTGTACATTAATTCTATTAACCTGAAAAATATCACAATTTGTGAATGGAAGCTATCCCCATTATCTACTGAATGGAGTTCAGTTTTGCAAGCTCATAATTTGCTGGAGAAAAATTTCACATGTTATTCGAAACCTGACAACTTAAAGTTTCACCGCGGATTAATGTTAACCACAAAGTCAAATTTGATCGCTGGTTTGTATAGTGTTCATTGTTTGGGTACATTTGTGACAAAAAACGTAATTGTAGCCGGTAGGTGTATGGTTTTCGAAGTAAAATAAATCTAAATTTTGTGCTAGTTAGTGTTTAATTCTTTAAGAAATTAGTAGTAGTGAGCAAAATGCGTGTTCATCGAATAAATGCAGTTGAACTTATAACTGGTTTTTAAGCTATTTTTACACAGAAAATGCTTTTTGAGATCTAATTCACATTAAGTATTTGTTTTAGAATGAGATTAATTAGCAGCGACGATAGCAGCTCAGCTACAATTTGTACATTGTATTGATTACAGTAGTCTGATCAAGTATCATTAATGTTATTTATGTAAGAATAAGGTTTAGGAATACAGATCGTAGTTTTGTTCCTCTTAGTTTCACAGTTAGTGGTTGGCTTTTTTTATTCCTAAACTTTCCCAGTGGAACATAGAGCTTCAGGCTACAGACTTGAAATTTCGGTAGCAATGGTGTGTATTTTTATGGGATGAGATGGCTGGCCTCATGACCAACCTTCCCTCTTTACCAGCCTTATTACTGGCTTAGCGAGGTAAAGGAGTGCGTCGGCGGGGGATTTAACCCCGGACCACATGTGTGGTTGGCCAGCATTCTACCGCCGTGCCGCTGACACGAGGTTGACTTGGCTATTTCAAAACAAGAAGAACAAGATTTGCAGCATAAAGGGTGAGCATTTTTATTCTGAGAGTTCTCTTCAGCTGCAGACGGCCTAGAATATGCTTTAGGATCAACAAAATAAGAACACACATTTCAGTTACTGGGCAGAAGTTAGGCATGAAAACAGCAGTATAAGGAAATGCGAATGAGTAAAATGTGACGGCAAAATCATTGGGAATGGTATGAAAACAGACTTGTTACTTATCATAAGTTTGGAAAATAACAGGAGTTCTGATAGATGGCTTAACAACGAAACATTAATTAAACAGTAATACACAAGAAAAAAGATTATGCAATAATATGCAAGAAAACATCTAGAAGGGGTTTGAAATCAGTCCAGGGAGTTAAAATTAGTAGTGTCATAATAATAATAATAATAATAATAATAATAATAATAATGGAAAAAAAATACAAAATTACGCAATAAGTTGTGAAATTATTACCAAAGTGAACTGAGATTAATCACTGTTTCTTTATATATTCATAGGTTGGGTTTGAGTAGCGTTGTAGTAATAGATTCAACCATCCTAATAAAGTTGAATTTCCTAGCTTGTTCTTAATAGTAAATGCAGTTGGAATATACACTTTAACTCCAATTCCAGTGGATATCGAATGACCCTGGTAAGGAGATGGTGAACTTCCAGTTTCCGTTTTTTCGGGAGTTTTAGGAGAAGCCTGTAAATTATTTTTTTTATGTCATTCCTATGTATTTACCCTCACACAATATCGTATGGTTACTGTGAGTCCACCAGATGTTTCCTTGGTAGCAAGACAAAATCTGACAGACTGAATTCGAGGAGACTTTGCTACATCTGATAAAACAAAGAAAGATGTGTAACACTCAACATCGTTTATGGAGATCAGTGGTTGTCATTACTTCAAGTGACAATTGTCTATTGTCTATTGTTCAAATGGGCCTAATTCTTGGTACTCATTTCACAGTCAGACATTGGAGTCAGGTGATCGATTTATTCATACATTGAGACTGACGTTGCATGGTGGCTGAGTGATTGGCATTTGAGGGGCACCTGAATTATTTCTTGAAGTTTTGCATCATTCCCACTTGAAAAGTTTTGAAAGTCACATCCTTCTCATAGATTGTTTCAACATTTTCGATACATCAGCGTAAGGTTAAAAAAATTCACTAAATGTGCCCTTACAACTGACTCAGCCTTCCTACTTCGGGACTGAAATCTCCTGATAATAAAACTACAAAAGAGATTTTTACTTTATGAAGAAAACTAAACTACTACTGATAACATTAATCCACTACGTTGTCCATACTGAAGATACTTGGTGTGTAAGCAGAGATCTCAATAGGACATTGACTAGCATCGCAGTGTTTCCTTAAAAATCTATTCATTTGGTGACTGACATTCGGTGATCTTGCCGCTTTTTAAACCAGTACTATTCCCAGCCAAAGGATCTCCTAATCCAGTGTGGTTGGCTGGAAGAATACACCTGTTTCTTGTATATGTATTTCACAGCCACAGCTTCATCTGATGACTGAGATGCAGACTTTTGGCCAGTGAAGCCTGCCAGTCGATTTGACATAAGGTGCAGACATTAAAAGCTCGAATGTGAAAGTGGTAGTGTGTTTCTAACAGACTGAGAGTAGTGTTAATCTCACCCGATTCATTGACAGTAGTCAATGAGTTAAGAGGAGGCGGATATATCTTATGAGAAAACAGTATTAGAACTGTAAGGGGGTGGAGTTTTAAACAAGTAATTAGGTGATATAGATCAGCAATTAGTGTTTTGATAGGTGTGTAGGTGGCTGATTCTTTCAGGCTGCCGATATTGTTGAGTTTTTTTTTCTCACAGTATCTGAAAAAGATAATGAAAAGGCCTTGAGACCGATCATGTGTGGCTTTTTTAGAAGTGATGGAGTTTGTTTGTGGGCAAAGGGTAAAACCAATGTGTATTTTTGAGGTGTTCTTTAACCGATACTGGCCTATAAAAGAATTCCTTTGAAAAAAGTCAACTTTTTATCTCGCAGATCCAATCAACGGATACTTAAATGTAATTAATTTACACACTAACTTTATAGTCAGTCACCTCTTAGACAGATTTGACCGTCAAAATAAAATCCATTAGTTTAACTGATCCTAGTTCTTAGCAGGTTATATAAGAAGTCCTTAAATCCTCAGTTTTGTTCAACTACAATTTGCCTATAATTGAACCACACATAGGATAACTCAAACTTTGCAGCTTGTTATTTTTTTCTCTTCATTTCCATTCGCTTAATTTTCTTTATTGTTATTTATTTTCTCTCATTAAATATTAATTTTATGATAATAAAAACATTATCTTCATTTTAGAAAAACCCAATGATTTCATTATTGATATCTATCCAAACCAAACAGTTATCAATGCATCACATTCAGGGTTAATCCAAGCAAAAATTCACTGGTTCAATGTAACAGAATCAATGGAGTTTCTAATTAATCAACTGTTTCCAGTTATATGTGAAATAAATTATCCAAAAGTGCCTAACTGGCCTAAGTTGAATTTTACATCTTTTACTCCTTATGCATTGCTTCCACAAAAAGGTTTATTGCATATTAGCTGTCAGTCAACCATATTTTCGCTAGAGAAGACATTCATAAAAATAATTTCTGCTGTTAACCATTCGAGAAGCTTGTGTCCGTTATCATCGGAATTGTTGTCTATGTCAGGCAATTTATTGGAAGTTAAGAACTGTTCAGAGTTATATGTAAAACAGTTGAGAAATCTCAGAAAAAATACAGAAGACGAACAAAGGTATAAGAGACGTAATTATGGAATGGTCGCATCACAAGTAGGCCATTCACATACTTATAAGGAAAAATCAAACTGTATAACTGCCACAGTAGATTACACCATCTCTGGTAATCTAATGAAGGTCATAGTGACGGAATCAAAAGAAGGAATTGAATTTTGTAACTGGAATACAAACCAGGGGACTTACATTTTTCACATTATAAGTAAGTGACAGGTACATAATTGCAGCATATTGTAATTCCTAATACTCATTTAGTGTTTTCTAAACGTGTTATATTTAATAGTATATGTTAGATGATATCTGAGCATTCTTAGGTAATTCAAGATTTACAATCTCCGCCGTTCACTTTGACTTCTGCATATTACAGTAAGACAGTCAGTTTTCCAGTTTGGTCTATATTTGCTGTTTACTGAATAAACGCTGAAACCTAAATTTTTCATCTATTCCAATGCTTTAGTTTCGATCCTTAAACAGAATATTAAAAAAAGAGTTCTAAAGTATTGAACTGAGGGTATATGTAACACAGATGGCTTTTGGAAAAAATGTCTTGCTAGTTTCATTAATTATTGTCTGACCAGAAATAATATTACCCACTGACCGAAGTAGATACAGACGGATTGTGATCCGGAAATCACTGGTTGAAAGCCAGCTGCTAAGATCAATGAGCCACGTCTCCACGTGTTTTCCCCTGATGAAGTTATTGCAATTATATAATGCCTGATGGGTAGTTTCTTTATTAAGCACAGTACATTCGGGAAAACGGATTCCATTTATTGTGTACAGCACTTATATTCAAAAACAAAACCACAACAACAAACTCAGTAGGTTGGTACAAAATCACTTTTATTCTAACATTTCTCATCACCTCCATACATCTGAAAATGATTTCAATGTTGAAATACAGGAAAACGTTCACAAACTTTAATTAATTAACTTAGAGAAAATTATTTTTGCATAAGTGAATACTTAAGGCTTTCTGTGATGAAAAAAACCCAATCTAAACGATAATGTATATTGCAGATATTTTATAGGTAAACACAAGATGACACTGCTAAATTCAGTTTAATTTAGGAGGAATTTATCTTCCTAAACCCACCCTAAAGGTGGTAGTGGGAAGAGAGATTAAATATACAATTAAGCCATTAAAGAGGACCTACTCAGCTTCCAAGTTATTTGCTTTTTACTGAAGGTGTTACTAACTGAAACAATCTTAAGGTGAAAAGTCCTACTTTCATGTTACCCTCAAATTTATGCATCAGTTTATGTGTGCATGACAAACCACATAGATCAGGTGAACGGAAAGAAGGGTTTTCTACTATTTGTCTTAGCATTTCTGAAAGAATTTTTTATTAAAAGATTAACCAGGTTTTAGTAAACATAAACGACCATCATCACCCTGATTATTGAATTGAGTATGTTCGAAAATCTTAACCTCTGTTGTTCAGATGTCGAGTTGATCTTGTAAGGAGAATAGTTCCTCATACACTAAGTTACAGTGTCAGTTATTTGTTTTTATCTAAGACAAATCTACAATTTGACAAAATTCTTAACATTTTCCTCCATTTATACTATGTTTGGATTATTAGCTTTCCTTTATTCGAAATCTTATCTAAACGTCTCTCTAATCCCTAAAAATAATCTCGACACTGAATTGATGAGTTATATGTTTCTTCGAAACTACCGCATGGCGCAGGACAGAACTTCTCATCACTATCTTCGTAATTATATTTCATCTGAATCCTGCGTTTACACATATTAACTGGAAGCGTATATTACAAACACATCAATGAATGCTAAATTAAATGTCACAATGTGCAATGCTTTATTTTATTTAACTATGAGTTACTAATGAAAATGAACATACGTGTTTACGTTTTCAAGTTCCATCTCATTAGGCTGTATAACAAATCGGAATTAGTGTGAATGAAATCGTTGGAATTTACTAAATTTTTCCCCCGAATTAAAGTTAGCGCTTACACCTGCCACTTTTATTCACCTGAAATCGCTTTAGAGCAAATGCAAATATTTATCATTCAATGGTAATTCATATTGGTAGCACCCGAAATTTCATGTTTCATATTTATTATTAATCCTCTGGGTTCTTAAAGGAACATATGACTTTATTGGCACATCATTTCTGTAGTCTGTAATCCTTTTAAGCTGGCTGTACGACTGCCTATAACTTCTTATTTCTTCCTGAAACACTCCTCCCCTGAGACACCCGACCTGTTGTTTCGCATCCGATTTCCACTCAAGGGCTCAGCAGTCTTCTCAGCGTGAGTTCAGTCTATCCCCATTTCCTTCTGCGTATTCGTTGGGTGATAGATTGATTATTGGTTGATTTTTTGCCAGATTACCTTGTTGCTTATCCGATTCAGCCCTCTGACTTTCATTATCGAATTAAGCCATCTGTTGATGAAAGTCGAAGGATTGTTGGAAATGCTTTTGGCGACGCGCACACCAAGTCTGTGTATCATACAATAGAATTGACTAACTTGACACTACCGTTGAAAATTCGGAAGTAGTTTCTTATACTGAGTGCAGTAATTTACTGATTCAGAGTAATGAAAGTTTATCTTGCTTCTTCAATCCTGTCTGATACTGACATCCTTACTCATGCTGCCTGTCTGTAGTTGAAATAAGGCTATCTAGGTAAGTGATTTGATGGTAACTGATGCTTATTTTGGTTGAGGACCGGTAGATTATAGCTAGTTCATCCAATATTCCTTCCCTTGTTCATCTATACTAATGATCTTGATTAATTTTTGCTTATAATTTCTCTAATTGTACTCTTTCTGTTCACCATTACAAAAAGTTGGTGAATTAAAAATAGGCGTCTTTCCCGAACAAGAATATTATATTTTTGGTATAAATCCCTCAATTGAACTGTTTTGGACAAATCCAAATGCTCCCAAAGTGCAGTTGAAAATACTACGTGTGATACCTATCAGCTGTGCTTGTGTTGAAGGTGCTGGTTGCATTGAAATCGGGAAAGAATATCTGAGGTCAGAAGGTGGAGTGGTGAATCTAAATATTTCAAGTGATTATCACATCTCAGATAAGTACACCTTTGTCTGCACTATCAAAAACAAAACGTATAATACATCGCTTACAATTATCAGTAAGCTCATAAATTTATTTTAAATATTTGATAAAATTTACCATAATTTTTATCTGAGTTTAAAGATGATTACTGATATTCGTATGCTCTGTGTTATCAAGAATGCTGTAACCCACTACAAAGTTTTAAATTTTCCCCTAATACCATTATGTGGGATATATATATATATATTGCTTATACCAAAATTAGCAAACTCTGTCATAAACACAGTTCAGCTATACCAGTGGTATGGACAACTTTCCTTTAAGGTTGTTTTGAGTCCTACAGAAAAGAGACCGACAGGATGGTGATTATGTTAAATAGGTATTGAAAAGAGACAATGTTTATTAAACAGCAGTTGGTTTCTATTTTAAGCAACGAATTTCCCAAGCATTATCATTTTCATGCATTGATATTTTCACTACACTGGTGAAAATATTCTACTTGTTTGAATAAACCCAAAATATTTCCTTTTGGAACAAAATGCTTACCTTAGGAACTTAATCTGTGAACCATATTGCCTTGGAATTAATCCTGTGAATACAACAACAATGACGCATCTTAGTTAATAAACTTTCACATACGTTTGTGTGTAAATTTTTTGAAATTTGAAGCATACTTTTTAAATCTTATGGGAATTCAATGAATTAAAAACACTAACCAAGTCATTTTTACATGTTTACTGGGGCTACCTAGGCTATACTGTTACAAATAAAATCTTGTAACATTGTCACTGAGTAACTTTGGCAAACATGATTTTATGAATATGTGAAAAGCACGTTGCACAAGTGTGGTATCTTATTCAAGACTGGAGACCTTATTATAACGTAAAGCAATAAGAAAAATGCAAAGAATTTTTTAATTTATTTTTTAAAACAGTGAAGTGACATAAGTTATTCTAAACATCATATCTGTCCCACGGGGTAAACTTCTGATCATTGAATCCATATACCATTCCTTCCATTTAGTGTCATATTTCTGGGGGGACTGTTGATTAGTTAGGTGTCAAGTGCTGAGTAGAATGAATCCAAAGGTATTATAAAACATGATGATGCCTTTAAAGGAAACCTAAGGAAGTGGTACATAACCATCATTATAGTAATAGTAAAAAAATCACGAATAAGTGGGACTTAGAATTTGTGGGTAATTTAGTCGAGTCCCAATGGCTGAACGGTCTACGAGCTCAAGTCATAACCTGAAAGTCCTCGGTTCAAAATCCAGTGGACGCGTACTGCCGATGAGTCCCAAACTAGAACGAAACAGACGTCAGTAGTCACTGGTTTTCGTTGGTTTTCTAACTGATATATGTCTATGGCTTTGAAAATGCATAAATAAATATGTCTTGGATTTTCAATCCACCTTTTTTTCAATTTTTCCATAGATAAAGATGATGTAAAATTGGTGATTTCGGGGAAAAATAAAATATTCCATCTTCTAGGTGAAACGCATACATACTCATGTGCCGTGAAATTTATTTATAAAAGTCTATATGAATTTAACCATCCTAAACCTGTATGGATTAATTTAAAAGACATGGGTACAGAAGTACTCGGAACAGATGACATTAAAGTCTTACAAACTAATGCAGGATGGCACTATTATGCATGTGAATTTAGCACTTACGGTCTTATTGTTAAGGAGTTTCTTCACTTTATTGTATTTGGTAAGTTGAGCTATGTGTATAGCCACTGTTGAAATTTTGTCTGCGTTTAATTGATGTCACCTGGGAATACAACAGTAATTCTTTGAATTAGGTACGTACAAGATAAATGGATGAGACTGATGATATAAGACACGTCACTAAACTATTCAAACAGAAGTTGTTGAGTGAGTTAAAATTTGGACACAATAACTCTGATGTATGTGAATAGCCTAGCAGCATGTTTTATACTGTCAGGCAATAAGTACCGACATGATATATTCGAATTAGTTGATCGAATGCGAACCATTCTCTAAATGGGTGGATTTCAGAAGCCAGAATCTAATCACTGAATCCAGTGATGCCCATATCAGTATATTAAATATCCTAGTCTGATAAATAAAAACCTACACCCCAGACTGTCTTGTTTAAACTCCTGATGGCCTGTCAGTTGGTGAAAAATGGCAAACCAACCAATGACTATCTTTTTGGCCAGATAAATAGGTCTTTTTTTTACCAAAAGTGTATTTTTACTGGTGATTAGGCATAATAAAACCATGGAATGAATGATATTAAGATTGTATTCCCAGTAAACCGTGTAGCTGTGGTTATGCATCGGCCGGTTGAGAAATTTCGTAGGCTAAATTTGTCAGCGACCTTCTTCACTAAGCAGTTTTAGCTGAAGGCAAAACTGATTTTCTAGACTAAGAGGTGCTAAAAGATCTACGAAGTAACTGATAACTGTTATGAGCCAATCAGTGGATTGTAAGTTGTCCGATCGAAATCAGTGACTGAAGACCTTAGATGAATTGAATCCAAAAGAATTGCTATGGCTTAGATTTATCCATATCTGCAAAAACTGTGTGATCAAAGCTGATGCCTTCCTTCTTATTATGTACACTTCACGATTATTGTCATTTGTATGTACTTCTGCTCCTTCCTTTTTTGTATATTTTGATGAATAATGGCGAACCTGATTGACAGAATTCAGTCTGCACCAAAGATAGGACTACACACATCACACCAGTTACTACTGTCCAATCAAAGTCTCCACTACAGTCCTACAGGAGGTCAATCACGATCCCAAATAGCTCAGTGGTAACGTCTCTGATTGCAGCACTGGAAGATGCGGTTTCGAATTTCAGAAGGGACATGAGTTCCTTCAAGGTTGCAGATAGGCCTTGCTGACTGGTGAGTGCCAACTAGCACGAAACCTAGGTCCAAGGCTTCCTGCCGATCGCCTCCAACCATCTAATATCATTTTATTCTACCTTAGTCTGTTTTTGTTATGAAGGTAAAAAAAGACAATATTTTTAGGGATCAATTGCAAGTCCTGGTTTGACTACTGAATAAGTAAATACTGTAGGTTGACAAAAAAATTAATTTGCTACAGTGTGGCTTTTGTATTTTATTTTCATATTTAAGCGAGTCGATTAAATAAAAACATTTGAGCTTTTACGTTTGAATATGACTATTATTACTCGTAAAAGTCTGGACTTTAAGTTGATAGTGTAATTAACGCCTAAAGTTTATTCATCGTCTTGTGCACCAGCTTGTTTAGTAGGCTTGATTACTTTGTGCAAGACAGATTCAATGAGTCGAGACCACTTATTTTTATTATATGACAAATTTAAGCTACATATATAGTGTTATTTATTACAGAAATATGTAGATGTACAGAAAGGTAGCTCAGATGTCAAACAGGCCGCCAACGATGTTTTGAAAAAAGAACACAATACTTAGTTTGTGAGATTCATATAAATAGTGAAAAGTATTTCACACGAGGATATGAACAAATTTAATGCATTTGGATAACTGGATTATGTCATCACTGATAACTTGATCAACTGAGATAATTATTAAGGAAGATTACTAATTTTGTTAATTTCTATTTGGCTATAGCAAATGCAAAAAGTAATCACTATTGATAAAACAAGTTGATTTAAATAACAATTTTCTTTTCTGCATCATATTTGTAGATATAAGTAAACATTCATTGACTGTTGAAGAAGATGGGATTGAAAGATACTTTTACATTGTTGACTCACCAATCTCAGTTAGATGTCATGCTGGTAACATAGGCTATCAGCATCTGGAGAGACCGTATTGGATATTACTGTCGGGGAATGTTACTTATAAAATATCGAATAGATCAAACATTTTACAGAAAAGTTCAGTAATCAGTTTACATAATAAAAGTTTCTTTTACGGAACTTTTCAGTGTAAATTAAAAATTAAAAATGTCTGCTTAACTAAAATTGTTGTATTTGTGAACTTAAGTAAGTCACATAATACTTATATATATATATATATATTCATCGGTTGTCTTTAACGGTTTCTCGTAAATTGACTATTAAATGTGTGTCAAAACCTCGGCTTATTCATGTGTATAAAGACTACTGCAAGAAGCATTTAAATGAGTTGTCTCGTCTAAATCAACATCTTTATTCATTTTAATAAGTTAGTTACAAGGTTTACAACTCATTCGTTTAAATACATTAGTGTTAGGTAGTAAGGTAACTGATGTAAGCACCAAATAGTGTTAATCAGTCACCTTGAAACATCCAAAAAAGCTAGAAGATTACCTCTTTTTCTTTTGACTCAATATGGGAATATTTCTTTCAAAATACCTGTAATTGAAAGCTTTTATCCTTTTTAAGTGCGATTTTTGGTGGCAGTTTCCTGCAGCTTTAAAGTAGGACGGAGAGTATTAGTACACAGTAAACATGTCTTTTAGTGGATGCCAATATATCATGTCTATGCTAGAAATGATGCATTTCTTCAAATTTCAAACAAACTGTTGACCTTCGTAGTGAGATTTTTTCGCAAATCAGTCGACTGACCAGACTTTTCTTTCAACCTGTGGAACGATCAACACATCTAACCACACCATTTTCTAACTTTAGTCACCTGATGTCAGTCATACAGAATAATCTCACATGTAGTTCAGTCGACCCTAATGCTAAATATGCCCAGAGATTTACTCAGCGTGTGCTCAGAAGACTCTGCATTTTGCCAGCGTCTTTACTCGGAAGAACGGTATCGTCTGGATACTGTAACTAAACCAGATGTTTTCCTGGAATCAGGAAGAATTTCAAGAGACTGAATTCGAGGAGAAATTTCTTCATCTAACAAAACAAAGAAAGATCTCTGACACTGAATGCTGTTTGTGGAAACCAGCGGTTGTTGTTACTTCAGGTGATAACCATCAGTAGTTTCTTAAACAGATGGATGATTTTGGGTGGAATGCTTTGAGCAGTATTATACACTTTCTTTGATACTTCTTTGACATGATCAACAAATTCAAAAAAGACCCTTATGTTAACAAACTATAGTAAGTGTCAGATGCCCGTAAGTGTGTTTACGCTCCAGAACTTGTCAAACTGTGAAAATTTTATTAAAAAGCACTCAACCGAGTGTGAAAAAATGTCTTCTATTCTTAATTCCATGTTTCTTCCACTAAGTCTTTGTGTGAAAACGGATCCTAGTATCTTAAATGATGTACTTGTTAGTCAAGCTGAACCCATTCTGATTAACGTACGAATGTTCATTTTCCTTGTTATGAGCTGGTATGAACAACACTGGTTTGATCGAACTATTTTGGATTTCTGAACACTAGCCAATACTTTAGTTGGTCCAGTCAGTAATACATCATCAATGTTTTCAAATCAATTTGGAGACATTCCATCAGGTCCGAGTATCTGACCTCATTTTAGATCAGACATAAACCTTGCCATTTAAACTACAGCTGGGGAACCAATGTACACGCCCTATTCAGGTAGACGTCAGATGTGATCCAACTGGATTGATGATGTAGGCCAAACGAACTGTTCTTCTATATGTTTTGTAGAGCACTCGAGTGGTGCCTCCTGAGTTAACAGATTTTCACCTCTCTCAGACAACATATCACTTATCATAGGTTTTTAAGGTATGTTTTCTTAGTTAGGCTGAATAGTTGACCAGTATTATTTACTGCTGATGCTTTTTACACTCTTTTATTTTCATCGCTCACCACGTTTAGCAGTCATCGTAAAAGGATTTGTCAGCATACATTGGAGCAGCGTTCACTGATCACCTTTGAAGCATACTGGGGTTAATCTCATTGTATCATTCATTTCGAATATAGCTGCAGAAACCTACTAGTATTTACTAACCTTTTGTCATGATCGTTAACATTTTTTATCTCTGCATCTACAGCAGGCTAGATAGTGATGATTACTGTAACGGTCAGATAGGTGTTTATTGAATCATATATGTATATAAAAATTGAAGAGAATAAATGTTAGTCATCACAGCATGCAAGCTAAAGGTATTGTATCTGATGCTAGGTAAATAATCCAGAAATCACAAAATACTTATTTAATGTTTCCTGGTTTTGATTAGTTCTTTAGTTGATATCCATAAATATTTGATTCCAGCTTGCAATCGATCTGTCTTTTAACAAAACATATGACTAGGTTTTGAGTTATCCCACTCAACATTCAGTTTTTTTTTGCTTTTTTTAAAAGGGGGCAGTATGCCTGACAGACTTCTTCGTCGACGTTATATTTTACCAAATTCATTACAATTAACGGAAAAATTTTCACTAAAACAGTATACACATCATGAATTAAGATTTCTCTCAGAGCCAGTTTGTGTAAGTTATGATCATAGAAAGGAGACTATTGAATGGCATTGCCCTTGGATACGTACAGGTGTACTTCACTTTTGTGTTGAACACACTGAACAACAGTTTATTTTAGACAAATTGTACTGTAATGATACAAAAGTATTTTATTTAGAAAATGTGTGTAAGTTGACAAATTTTACATTTACTGGGTAGACTTATTCGAACATTATTTTTCAATCTTTGACCGAAATTTTTGATCATTAAGAGAAAATATGTTTCGAGGGTTCACGATCCATCAGTTAAAACTGATATAATTACTATTCAGGTGTTGGTTTGTAGGGATTTGATTGGTTACAGGATTTCATCATGAGTTGACATTAGTTACAGAACCATTGGAAAACCTGAAAGTACTGGACAGCTGTTTCGTCCTAGTTTGGGACCCTTTAGTAGCACGCACCCACCGGAATTCGAACCCAGGACCTTCTGGTTACAAGGCGAGCTCGTATACCATTAAGCCACTTGGACCACATCCAATGGCCCATGAATTCTAATTTCTGCCAATTCACAACATAGCCAATGTCTTCGGCGAGTATTTGTCCTCACACCCGACCTGCTGTACCCTATTGGTCACCACTTCTCACTAGAACCCCAGGTAACTACCTACCTGAATAGGGCAAGTCGCTAGTGAGGAAATCAACTGTCCCTGTTGATCCTATAAATATTCGATAAGAAACTAAAACCAGTAGTACTAATATCATGAAGTAGTGATGTATATTTACAGTATATTTAAATGTTAAGGTATAATTTTTCTTGCCTTTCGAAGTTGTATCTATTTTTTGTAGAGCATTATTATTATTATTATTATTATAAACAGCACTCCTCAGGGAATTCTTAGTTAGCTCAGAAACGACTGTTTACTTTTTCCGGTAAACTTTAAGTTACAGATTTTAATTTTCAGCGTCCGATGCATACGTATTTATTAGGACTCCATTCAGTCTATCAGCAGGTATTACATAGAAAATGTAGACCTATCATTATTAGATGTGGTAGACAGACAGAAACACGTAACGAAAATGATAATGGTAGTTGTACGCAAAAAGTGCAAGACAAAAAGACAGTGAATAAAATGAGTAACAAGATGACTTATTACAATTAAAATTGTAACTAAATTTTTTTTAAATTAACCAGTTACTTATGGTCATGATGTCGTTTATTCGTATGATTATATTCGCCGAGGTCTATGTATGTGAATGAATAACTGCTCAAATGGTAAGTTTCCACTGTTTCTTTGTGGTCGGTCGGTCGGTCGGTTTTCGACATAGAACTTTGCACTTATGTGCGGCAGTTCAAGTCGCCACACTCCATGTAGCACACAAAGCAAGAGAAGGAAGTAGGAGAAATGCATAATATAGACAGTAAACAGAGGTGTGAGACAAAGGAATAGTAATAACGGAGAACAAAACAGTTTAATTAGAAATCATAAGTCACAAGGAGTGGATGCATCTGCACCAGCCATAGAGAACGATTTTGAGCCATGTCACCAATTGTTTCCAACCATTGGTTTTTACCGTTCCGAGGACCCCAACCAGTCAGGAAGTCTACACCTTCCTACGTGGCGTAGACTAACTGTTGTAGATTTCATTGACTGGTGCCATGTTTCCGTTTGACCGCCGCTAGCTCTCTCTTTTCCAACCTGACCCTATATCAGCTAATATTGCCCGTCGAGGAAGGCGATGACTAGGCATCCGTAACACATGTCCTAACTATCTCAGTCGATGTAATTTCAGTCTCGTCGACTGATTTCCTCTCCTTATCTAGCACTCGACGTCTAACCTCAATATTCCTCACCTTATCATACCACTTCACGAGGGAGATAGAACGCGTGGTGGTGGTGATGGAGAGGGAGAGATGTGAGTAGAAATAAAGTTGAGTATTCTGTCAAGATCGAGAAAATAATCACTTAGCAGAAGTTTAGGAGGAAAAATGAAATACAGTAGAACGCGAGGATATTGAGAAAAATGTATTGTATTTTCATATGAAGGTGATAGGGGATTGTATTTGTAAGAAATCTTGCAGCAGAGAAAAGCAGAACCACATTTTCCGCAAGAATGGATAAAATTTATACCCCCACGTAATATGATAAAAAGAAACATTATTGCTTATTTTAAATTGTACATAACTAATTTTTCTCAGTTTTGTAAAATTAATTGCCTGCTGAAGTAATAGTTTCAGTAATTATACAGAATAGAGTACACATTCAAAGTTAACAGGCTAAAAGTTGATAAAACAGAATTTAAAAATGAGAAAGAATTGGAACAGGGATATCTTTTTCTTTGATGTACTCACCAGAAGTAATAATCTGCTGATAAATCTTCAGAACTGATTGCAGAGGTGGTTCTATTAATGTTATCCAGACTTATAGTGAAATATTTTTAAACTAAACGACAAAGTTCACATAACAAACAACGTATGACGATTAAAATGGCTGGCCATTTATTGCCTTCCTGTGAAGTTAAAGTATAATCATAATGCTTAGTGCTTTCGGTACAAAGATATTCCTTAATGAAATGCATACGAATATTAGTAGCGTATTTGGATGACTATAATTACATCGCAATACGAATTGTCAGTTAATCATTCATTATAGCGAACGCAACAAAAATAAAATATAAAATCAAACGATGTATAACTGTTTACTTGAAATTAACATTATGCACTGAAAGAGAAGTAAAAATGAGTGGAAACAAATAAATGATAACTGCAATACTCCTACTATCATTATTAATAACAACAATAGAGTGCCAAAGAAATTCACAAAATTCTCTGTAGTCGTAGCCATAATTTCAGTAATCAATTTGTAACAGTAGAAGGCAAGACACGGAAGCCAAAATATATATTTCCAAGTGATCGAACCGCTTTTTATGGCTATTCAGTTTATATTCCTTAACTAATAACTGAGCACGGAATATACACAGTGGATCACTGGAATTATTAAAAAGACGGTTGCGGCGAAGAAAATTTTCTTTCCGACGAAGTCATCAACTATATGTTCGTGTATTTATGATAAATGGGTGAGAAAGTTCCAGAATAAGTTCCAGTCAAGGGTCAAATTAATAAAATTACAATTAGGAATTAAAATGACAAAATAGACAGGAAGTTTGGATACGAAAATATGGTAGTGTGAATAGGGATTAAGAAAAACTTAAAAATAACATGAATAAACAGGAAGTTTGGATGAGAAAGGCAATAGGATGGTCAATACTAAAAGAATTACCTGTTTATGATGGCCATGGCAGGGACAAGGGTTGGACGTATTTCTTTTGGATACATAGCGTGGGTTTGAGCTTTTGGATAGCTAGTGCCTCGGCTATGTCCAGATGTCTTAATTTTACTCCCTTTGATAGGTTTCATAGAAAACTACTCCAACACGGTTGCAAAGAAAAGAACAGGTGATGCTTTAATGAGACTAAATCAAAGCCTTAAATCCGTTACCAAAGAAACCGTCTTTCCTACTTGTCCTGAAAAACACGTGTTTAATTATTCTGATGTTCCACTATCTCCAATGCAAATGCGAATCTTACCACTTGGACCTGAGTTTTGTGATGTAACGTCAAGATTGAATGAACTGAACACGAAAGCCCAATTCGAGAATTTAATCGACCAGATAAAGGTCTGGTCTCAACCTTATATGATAATGCAGACCTTTTCAAATCAATTGTTTTAAATTGCTGTTTTGATTACATCAACAAAAGCCCAGCTTTCGCAACGTACTTTCCAAAGAACATCAAAGCACCTGAAAGAACTGAAGGATAATGAAAACTTGATCATCACATGACCAAATAAAGACTCCGGGATCGTCATGATGAACAAATCAGACTACCTAAGCAAAATCTCGGTGATACTATCTGGTGATAAAAGTTTCAAAAACAGTCTCTGATGCTTGTAGTTGGAAATATGATGCCTGGTGAGATAATCGAAGGAAATGACTTCCTTCAAATTTCTCCTGTTGATTATGGTGATCGATGCTCATTGTTGTTTGTATTTGGGTATCTTCATCACTTCTGTCTTGTCTATGTTCACTTGAAGTGCAATCTTCATTAAATTCCTTCTCTGATAATTTGTTATTTTTCGTCTGTAAATCTTCTAATTTGTGTGACACCAAACATCAATCGTCTGCTAAGTCCAGATTTTTTAGATTCTTCTTGTCACTTCAACGTTCTGCTGTCTTCTAGCTTTCTTTGCACAGCCAGCAGCATGATCTACTCCAGCTTTCCGGAGTTCAGCTAACAAAGATATTGAAGAAAATGAAAGACGAATCCATTATCAGTTCAAAACTATACGAACAAGTGCGTCCATCTGGTTCTACAACGCCGCGTATGTACGGCTTACCTAAAGTGCACAAACAAGACGTCCCACTCCGCCATATACTAGATATGATAGATTCCCCATATCACACAATTGCGAAATGACTGGTGAAGATTCTCTCGCCGGTGAAAGAGAAGCTCTCAAGACAGAACCTCCGTGACACATTCGAATTTGTTGATTCAATTCAGAATGTTAACGTGGAGGAGAAGAAAATGGTCTCCTTGGATGTCGTCTCCCTCTTCATCAACGTTCCACTGACAGAAACCGTTTGTTCCCTTTGCGACTACATTCAATCCAGTAGCATCGCTGTCAAAATACCAATCCATTACCTGAAAGAACTGTTACTACGATGCCCCTTCAACGTATACTTTAGTTTCAACAACGAAATATACAGGAAAGTAGATGGAGTAGTAATAGGTTCTCCCCTAGGACCCCTCCTGGCCGACTGCTTTATGTTAATATATGTGTAAAACTTGGGCACTGTCGTAGTAAGTAATTCCATATTAGTTTGTTTATTAGATGTATCACACAGTGAAACAGTATCATTTACTGGAAACGTTTCGAACCAAATTTATTGTTCATGATCATATCAATTATAATCACACGACTTTGAAACTTGAGTTTTATAGTTTCCTTTGTCCTCTCCTATTTGTCGTAAGGGTAGTAGAATTTTCCAGATATCTGGGAGAGGTGTTGATTCATTCCTATTACATGTATTTGCAGTTGATTCGGTAAACAAAGCTTCTGTTATCAATCTCTCCCTCCATCCTTTGACATTAGATTTTGAAACTTTCATCCTATCCCATCCTATTGTGTGGTTGTGTGTAACTGCATGTAGTGCTACAGCTGAACTACTCTCTAGATTTAAAAATCTGTCACAGGATGGAGGGAGAAAGTGATAACAGAAGCTTTGTTTACCGAATCAACTGCAAATACATGTAATAGGAATGAATCAACACCTCTCCCAGATATCTGGAAAATTCTACTACCCTTACGACAAATAGGAGAGGACAAAGGAAACTATAAAACTCAAGTTTCAAAGTCGTGTGATTATAATTGATATGATCATGAACAATAAATTTGGTTCGAAACGTTTCCAGTAAATGATACTGTTTCACTGTGTGATACATCTAATAAACAAACTAATATGGAACGACTGCTTTATGGCTAGCTAATAGAACAACTCCTTATCATTAACTATCGACGACCTCCATCTCTACAAGAGGTACATTGATGATAATTTCATCATTTGTGATGAGAACCTGGACATTAGAAACCTACTTTAAACCTTCAACAATGCCCACCAAAACATCGACTTTACTCTTGAAGCTGAATCCGATGGAATGTTCCATTTCCTTGACGTCCATCTGACAAGAAACGCCAACAACCCTCTCAAAAGGTCCATATACAAAATGCCTACATGGAATGGTCAATTCATCAACTTTCAAAGCTTCGTGCCCCTAAGACGAAACAGGAACCTGATATACGCTCTTTCCTCGAGGATTCGGAAGATATGCAGCGAGGAAGTGATTGACGAAGAACTGCGTAATCTCCGAAAAACCCTGATGGAAAACGGTTTCCCGCCCAGGTTCATAGACAAGAATCTTAAATCTAAGAAGACTTCCGAACAAGTTCAATTCGTCCCGAAGAAGATACTTCTGCTTAATCTAGAATTCAGAAGTGACATTGAAGCAGAAATCCTTCGTAAACACGTCTCCAAATCTCTGAGGAAAACATACTTCGCCGCGAGCCTACGACTAAAGTTTTCCTGCAAGAAACTGTTCAGCCAGAACGCGAAAGAAAAGCTATCGCATTGGGCCTCTTCAACTTGCATAAACTGGTTTACTTGCTCTTGCGGAGCTGAGTACATCGGCCGTACCATGCGCCAACTTGGAAAACGCGCTCGTGAAAACTATCCAGCCTGGTGAGTAAAAGGGGAACGAAAACGTGTATAGAGTTCAGTGACAGAACATCTAGTCAATTCAGGACATTCGCCGCCATTCGAGAAATCCTTTAAAATAATATACAAGATTCGGTCAAACCTATCAAAGGGAGTAAAATTAAGACATCTGGACATAGCCGAGGCACTAGCTATCCAAAAGCTCAAACCCACGCTATGTATCCAAAAGAAATACGTCCAACCCTTGTCCCTGCCATGGCCATCATAAACAGGTAATTCTTTTAGTATTGACCATCCTATTGCCTTTCTCATCCAAACTTCCTGTTTATTCATGTTATTTTTAAGTTTTTCTTAATCCCTATTCACACTACCATATTTTCGTATCCAAACTTCCTGTCTATTTTGTCATTTTAATTCCTAATTGTAATTTTATTAATTTGACCCTTGACTGGAACTTATTCTGGAACTTTCTCACCCATTTATCATAAATACACGAACATATAGTTGATGACTTCGTCGAAAAGAAAATTTTCTTCGCCGCAACCGTCTTTTTAATAATTACTGAGCGTGTGATTTTGTTCAAATACATATATTATGCTGTTGCTAACGCAGCATCGAACTGTGGGAATACGTGAGAGTAATATTCCGTTGGGAAGCGTTGTCTGTATCACAGCACCACAATTTAACGAGTGTACCACATAATGACGAACTGAAGCCTTTGATTTACACGGATTTACTTTACAGGGGGCCCTAAAGAAAAATTATAGCGGTGCTGTTAGCACTTACAAGTTTTAGAAATATGGAACTTCCAGCTGACCTACACTGATCTTTAGATAATTAAACAAGAATTTGGTAAGGGGTGCATTGCAGAATTAACAGCTTTGTACAGTCAGCATAACTAGCTCCACAAGAATACTCAAAACGTTAGGTAAACTCAAACTGCAGAAACCAATGCAATGCGTATGCTAAATCCCAGAATTTCCATACAGCAGAAGCTTTATCAGTCACTGAAGTTGCTTTGTACTTGATTTGTCTGAACGACTCATCTGTTATTTATTTTGCTCGCATTACCAACCATTACGCCTTCAGTCCTTATAACACTGATCTCGGCTTTCAATTCCATTTAAACTCTACTCAGTCTAACGAAGTATGTTACGTCACTCAAATTACCTACTTAATTTCACTATAGTCTCTACGGGATTAATGTCCCTATGTTTTGTAATTTTCTTTGAGATCTCTTGATTGTTGTCTAAGACTCTAGATATTAGTGACGCATCTTTGCGAAAATCCCTTTCTTTTCCGTGGTAATGTATCATGTATGCGATTGAACAGCTTGAAGATGATATCTCTAATTTAAATGCTTCTCTTTGTGGATGTGCGATAGATTGATAACGTGTTATTTTACGATGTGATCTTTTGTTGAGTAAATGAAGGTTATTCTGATCTTAGGCTGTTTGCCGGAAGCACTGGTGTGTGATTACTGTGGACGGAGTTTTCGACCCGACCCTGATGGGAATACTCTACTTGGGTCTAAGCACCTGTTTTGTACTTAAAAGTTTACCGTGTCTGCACAATGGCACTGTTGAGAACGCACAAAACAGTCGTCTATTTGTTGTCTTTGGAGCATTTTTGCGGCTGTGCGTGTCTCAAGAAAGTTTTGTCAGCTATACGGTAGAACGCAGAGATCGGTTTCCCAGGTTCAAACTATATCTAGTCGGTTTTAGTTGTAAGTGTGCTGTCAAAAATAATTTCCAGGTTTGGTTATTCTTTCATATCAAGAGTGATGGATAGAATCCTCTTGGTGCTAAAAGTATTCATTTTTATCATTAACTTAGCCTTATATTTTAATTATTGATTCTCATAAGTTAGCCTTATGCTAATATCTTAGTCCATAACAGTCCCAATTATTTCCCCTAACTAGAACTAATTGCATGCAGTCTCTGAAACTAACGCAGAGAAAGATTTTTCTGTGTTTAAAGCCATGAAGTTTTTACTTAATTCTGCTTTAATTTGAAGTTCAAACAACTTTTCTTCTCTTTGTTTACTTATTTTCGAAGATCAAGTATTTGCCCGTTTGGAACCGTCAGAAATGTATTTTCATTATGGAGAAAAAATTCGCTGTAAATTAAATAAAAATGTTACTGTTCATGTGGATGTAATCATGATGTTTAAAGTTTACCCCGAAGGCTTACATCCAGAGAGATATTATACTGAATGGGTAACCCTCGATCAGACTTTTCCCAGTGGCGTTTACATTATTCGTTGTACAGTTATCGTGGAGTACATGGAACCGTTATCGACAGAATCTCTTATTATAATAATAAGTAAGTGGAATATGATGAGTCTCCTTTTCAATAGCACACAGAGTATTGGTTCATAGGAACGAGTTAATGAAAGCAAACACATATGAACATGCTTCACTTGTCAGTAAGGAGAAGCATTGAGTGAGCTTGATAAGACACCAGGTGAAATTCAGCATGGTTAAAAACACCGATTGACCGTGCATGAAAATTAGATAGTACTAAATCTGATAAAATTGCCAACTAAGAACGTTAACTATTAGGAAGAAGAATATAATCACGAAGAGGAACTAAACAAGACAAACGAGCTAATATTAGTAGACTTCAATCACAATGGTTAGAAGCTAATGAGGCGAAGAATTAAATAACTTTGCATCCAGGGAAACAGAATAGTTAGGCTTAACCTGTCTTGATGGGTTCAGTTCACAACCTCCTAAATGTTTTTGATTTTGCAAACTAGAGCGTGTTGATTACTTTAAAATGTACCTAATATCCCGTATTTAGTAAATAACTAGAGATGAAACTAGTTGTGGATTTTTAAGAATTATTTAAGAAGGCAACTGGAAGCTAGTATTCTCGCTTTCACATGAACCAGTTTAGGATAGATAACCAACTCTACTGCTACAATTTCGTTTACATGTATCTATGGTTTCCTTTTGATTGAGATAACCTCAGGTATCAACGTAACAGTCTAATTAAAAAGCGTTGTATGACGTTTCACTTTACATCAATTGATGTATAGTAGTGACAGTCAATAAATACACTCCAATGAACTAGGAACAATAACTTTGTATCAACCACAACATTTGATTGGTTAAATAAACCCAAGTTTAATAACACTTCAATTTAGGTCACCTAGAGCTTTCAACCTCGACATGATATATTACCAAATATAAGACTTGATTAAAAATAGTGATAAGTGGACTGCTCAAGACAGGATGATAGATACCGGCTGAGACAGCTAAGAATCAATCTGTTGCTGACTCTTTCATCCCTGATCTTCGCTGAAATTCAGTAATGAAAATATGTTTATTCTGTCATTCTTTTCTTTGTCTTAAGACATTCAATGAACCGTGATTTAAGTATCTTTATTTATTTGATGTCCTTCCTTATTGTCTTCTAGTTGATGTTAGGTGGAGCATCATGCAGTACTACTTAGAAACACCACAGATTAAAAGTTAACAACGTCTGATTAGTTGTATCTCGGACTCTTCTTTTGAATGCATTCGAAGAGATCATTAGAAGTTCATCCATGTTGTTATCTATAACTTTTTTTCAGTCACATTTTTATTTTAGATAGTAAACAATGGCTTTCTCCTCCTGAGGTTACACGATTTCTTGAATTTTTAGAGTAGTATATTGATGCTTAACATTTCTCATACTTTTCAACTCCCCACGTGGTTGACGGTCATATTTTACTACTTTTTAGTCAAATAATTTGACTTTAAAGTTAATCTTCATTAATTATTCAGTTAATGTTATTATCTTTTTATGTATCCATATAATTGAAGACCCACCAACGAACGTTGGATTTTATAAATCACCACATGGCTATCGTTGTACTCATAATGGAATGCCCATTGAAAATGTTAAATACAATATCAAAGTTTTGAATGCTACATTTGACTTTGAAATCAGTGATGACACTGTAGTTATTGACGAATACACTCTCCTAGGTGATTATATTGTGAAGTGTTCAGCACTTGTCAGTCATCCATTCAATAAAACATATAATCTTAGTCGTATAGAAGTATTACGAATAAAAGGTAAGTTAATGTATTCTTGAAGTGTTATTTGTCATATACTGTGAGCTGTGCGAATCATTATTCAACTTTGCTTGCGTGTGAAATTAGTAGTTGCAATAGGTATCGTACGGTTTAGTTGCTGAATATTTACTGCAAGAAAAAAATTGTTGTTTTCCGATAAGATGACGTTTTGATAAGCATTAATACTTTTAACAAAAGTACATACAGTTGTATGGTATAATAAGACTACATGAATTTCGAAGGTGATTAGACTATCAAAGATTGATTACTTCTAACACATCTGATACTTTTTCGGTAGAGAGTTCACACCCCACTCTCTGTTTAATTGAAGCCTTACTAGTCAAATGAATTCCTTATTTAATTCATTTTGGACTTTAATGTTGATTAATGGAACCTCAGTGTTCCGACTCTACTGATATATTGGCTCCATGTGCGGATGCTTCCACAGTGCCCAAGGATTTAAATAAGACATAATCAGTATATGCCAACTGACAAAGAAGTAACATTTGTTTTTCAGTATCTCTCTATGATATTCAAGCTGATGGGTTCTGAGTCTAAAACATCAGTGGATTTTAGGTCAAATCAATTTTTAACTTGAAGTAATTTGGTAGATAATGACTAGCAGAGGAATCCAGGATGCACATTTCGTCTTATTTGGGACTCATAATCTGGGTATGCCTGTATTCCCCAGTAAGTGGTAGTGTACCCACTGAGGCTCGAATCCAGTAGCCATCATTTCACACGCCAAGATATTATCCACTAAACCCCAGAGACATATGTGCATATTTCAATGAATTAATCTCCCAGATGATTCTGTTAAGAAGAATGTTGTTAACAAGGTCATTCCCTTGTAGGGCTGATTAAACTGCTCTGGAATTTGCTCATTATTTATATTTACTAAGTAACCCTATGCAAATTTGTATTACTCCAAGACACTTCCCTATACTAAAACTTCATAAAGTTAGATTGTACACTGTACGCGGGTTCTTTACTCATTACATATCATACTTTTACTCAGTTACAGATTTTTAGGATTTTAAAGATGTTAGTAACATGGTTACTCAGCGGAATAAAGTAGAAACACCTAACTCCTATTATTTTAAAAAAAATGGTTTTATTGTCTATTTTTAAGATGATTACTGGCATGAAAATAGCATTACTCTTCTTGAATGCGACTATATGTTTGTCCGAATACTTCTTCCTCTGCTGTGGACATTCGCGTCTTTATCTGTCAGCGCATTTCTAATAAGCCAAGCTACGGAAGATACTAATGAGGGTAGAAAGTATGAGTACACTCAAAAACAGGTAATTTTTTACTTTTACCTCTTAAATTCATATATGTTAGATTATTAGTTATAGGTCAAGAAAAATTCAAATGCATATTTTCACATTCTTTTACCGCAACTCTGTAGGATGCAAGGACTCCAACAAGTGGAACAGTTTTGCGCATAAATCCAAAGTACCTTCATGCTTAATGAAAAGGCTTTACCAGACTTTTCCAATCTGTTCTTACATCATTGATATTATTGATCGGAATGTAAAGTTAATGAAAAATTTTATGGAATGAGTAGTCGAATGTTAGTCACAAGTAATACACCAGGGGCAACTGAGATGTATACGCATCTAGGCAGTCCATCTCATGTAAGAAGGCGTGAAATTTGATTTTCTATCGCTACCTATCGTCAAACAAGAAAAAATTATAGCTTTCAAATGGAATAAATTTAAGTCATATTAGCATGCGGGTTTATTCAACTGTTTGAATTAAATCAAATGAAATTGCTAAGTAACACGGTCTTTTACAGAGTGACGGGAAATTCACTTTTCTGTATGTGATTTTACAATGAAGACTTGCATTTTTTTAATAATCTCCTTTGTCTAAAAGCAATTTTTGAATTTGGTGAGACATGCTGTATTCACCAACTGATTCAGAAGGACGAATTTTTGTTTTTTAAATCATGGAAAATTCCCATTGTAACATATAGAAAATCAAAACAAATGATTCAGCGAAGAGACTCTTTTCAACGAATTTATCATCAAGCTGTACAATCGTATATATATGGCTTTTAAGAAGTTATATCCGGTGAGGGAATTAAATCATAGGTGTGAATGCAAAATAATAATAATAATATGAAATGAAAACTAAAATGTTTGTGATTATAATCGTAGTTAAATGTCAAGTGGCAAAGCAAATTAATGTCATATATAGAATAATTTATAGCATGGATAGAACTTGAAAAAGGGTGTGCAATTATAAGATTAGTAGACAAATCGAATAAAATAAAGACGTTACGTAATTTAGAATTCTTGTTTCCCAATTTATATATATACATATACATATATATATATATATCATCAAATATGAACTACAGTTGCAATCAGTTTATCAAGAATTCTGCGTAAAAGACTTTGATTTCAGCTAAAAAACATCTGAAAACCAAGCAGCATTAGATAACTGTCCCATCACACTTTGAGGCTCTCCGGTTATTTGCATTCATGACCCACACGGGATGGATTCCAGGACAGTCAGATTTTTAAACAAGCCATCCGAATGGAATCTAATGTATAATATTTTTCAACTTCTGTCAACATAAGCTGTCAGTGTCAATAAGTAGGTTAACAGATATCTACACTGACAAATAATTAAAAAATGACAAAGAGACATTCAGTCAACGACAAAGCCATGAAAACATATAGACACAGAGTTAGCAGGAAAGTAGCATAAACAACAGATCTTTCCTCCTAATGTCAACTATTAGATTTTCATTACCAACCAATATCAGTTAGAGATATCATTGAAAACCAGGGAGCACTGGACAGCTGTTTCGTCCTATTTTGGGATTCCTCAGAAGTGCTCACACACGAAACCACTAAGGATCAAACCCGGGACCTCTTAATCTCAATGACAAATTAACTCCTATATATTCTTTCTCGAAATTATTTGAAATAGTGGGTTCAGAATGCCTACAGACTTTGTTAGAAATCATGAAGTCATAAATCATGTGAATAAGGGACGTCATACACACCAGAAGAATTCCGTTTTGGTTTTAAGTATTCCTCAATATTCTGTATGTAAGATATGTTAGATTATAAGTGATTCAGAATTCAGACACAATTTTATCAATATACTTGAATAGCCTGATCAAATACCGAACGCTTTCTGCCGAGGAATATTATTTTTCCTAAGAAGTGTTGCATTTCTTTTCGGGTTTCTTGTATCTTTTTTCAGTGGTGTACACATGTGTTGTAGGCTTACAATGCAGATGTTGTTTTGTTTCCTCCTTCTTTTCCAACAACTTCTATGCAATTTCTTATCTTGGAATCAAAAATACCACCAATAAAAAATATATTCAGATACACGAATTTCTAGAAATTAATCATTTGATCGATTCAGATAAAGAATATCAAGAAATTGTTCATCAAGCGATTCATCGGTTCGATGAATTAGTTGCTTTAATAAGAGCAGTGAAAATAATAGAAGAGAGAAAAAGGGATACAAGGAGTACTTACACAGAAGGATTGAATGGTGACAGGCTACTTGACGATGAAGTTAGTGATTATATGAAGGTCACCAGTAAAATTGATAACAACGTAATCAATGAACAAGGATTGCATAAAATGTCATCTAGAAGGCCCTCCATTCTTCTGGAGGATACAAATCCACTACAACGGCGTAAATTTTCAAAGTTTGTCGGCATAGTTTTGCCGACGGATACTGAGATTGAAGAGACAGACAACACTTTTGAAGGTTAAAAGGTTAGAAATGCTTGTCAATTACATAGCATTGAAAGGTGAGTATCTAGTCGTTTATAATAGTATTCACGCCTTAACTTGTAATGAAGAGAAACAAATATCTATGTTGAATATAAAGGATAAAATAATTCAAGATTTATTCATATTTAGTGTTAGCGATAATATTTCAGAGTAGTGGATTTAGCGAACAGAGTTTCTTTTCTCAGGAAGTGTTGTTTGACTAATTTAGAAGTTCTTGGCGTAATCGTAAGATCAAGTACTAGTCTACATAGCAAATAAAGCTGTTTCGTCGAAAATGAGAATTCTTTATTTTTCACTTTTAAGTGGTGCATACTCAACTAATGAGAAGAAAGTAATCATTAGGTAATCATTAGCTAGGCTGCTAACTTTCTTAAATGCAAACAGTAGCATTTCTGAAGCTTGTTCCACATTCAATAATTTAAATAAAAACTATCCCGCATTTTAAACACTTACAACGAAGAGACTATACGGTTGATAATGATATGTAGAAAGGCCGAAACGAACTGAAGTTGGCGGGAACCTAAATAAATACATCAGGTCAAAGATACTCAATGAAAGCGCGAAATAAAGAATAGGTTGTTCTAGTGATTAGAGTCATTTTCAGTCGGTATGAAAGTAGATAACGAGTGCCGAAATCCGGTTATTGGAAGTATAAAGTCGATAAACAGGGAAAATGTTTAAAACAAATGGTAAACATTGGTGGAATGAAACAGCGATACAACTACTGAGTGAATAACTGGATATGAAATAATTTTAACATGCAATTGGAAGAAACTTTTTATTCATATTTTTGTAACGCTTAGCTTAGTTTTCCAGAGCTTTACGCAGGTAACAGCGGCATATTCTCTATGGTATGTTTCAAAGTCGACTGCATTAACGTGAATGTATTCGTATTTTAGAATTTTAAACATTGTAGTTGAAAACTAAAGTTCATGGTTAAAATTCACTGATTGTTGAGCATTATATTGTGGATGAACTATGTAGTTAATACACTGGATACAGAAAATGACACAATTCGCTAACACGAAAATGGATATGGATTAGTTACTTTAACACAATGTTTTCTAGTAATGAAGAGAAAAGGGAATGATGAAAGTTAAACAAAGGGATTTACATCAGACTGACAGACTGAGTGAAAGAGCTTCACGCACAGCACAGAGTCTGCAGAGAATTAAAATTTCCCATACGTTACAGAGGTTGTAACAAAAAGTTAATAAATTTCGTGAACATTTTTTAAGCATTTTATTATAAACTGATACATTTGGTAGCAATTTGTAAGGCGAAATTATAGGATGTGTCACGGTGGGTGCCACTGACAGCTGCTGGTAAGGTTCTAATAATAATGTCTATGGGAACAATTGAATGACCTTGGACAAGGATTACTGGAATTACCACATCTTCACTTAATGTGGAGTAATCACTGGTCAGGTGGAAAAAGCGCCTACCTAATCAGTATCACCATTTATTCTATATTATTGTTTCCTTTAGTTCCTAGAGGAACATAGAGCCTCAGCTGCACGTCTCCATTGCGTTCGGTTCTCCGCCAACGTTTTCACCTGACTCCAAGTCTGCCCACATGCTTTCATCTACTCTTCACATGAACTTCTCCAAGTCACCCTTGGACGAACAACTCGCCGCTCCCCTTTCGGGTTCCACTTGAGCAATGGCTTGTTTATTGATGTCACTTGGTGGTTTGTTTTCTCAGAGTATGGCCAATCCACCTCCATTTCTTCCTGCTTATTTGTCGAACAATCGGTTTCTGGTTGGTTCTAGTTAGCCCAGAATGTCAAGATCATACCCATCGCAGTTATTTGTTAGTTACACTTATAGAAATACTAACCTTTCGTCTAAATATTGATGGTAGTTGCTCATAATCTGTCAGCCAGGTGAAGCGGTTAACGTATATTATTTTATTAAAATAATTTACAGTCAACATCAGAATTTGACTTTTAAATTTAAATTACATGTCTGGAAAACAGATTAAGTTACTTCTACTTTAATTGAATCCTAATGTGTCCCAGCAAATTCACAATTTAACTCAACTTTCAATTTATCCAATGCACCTGCAAAGCCTTCTGACACACTTCAGCATTTATTCCATTCTGGATAGGTTTCAGCGAAGGTTGGAGGTTATTCATAGATAAAATGTGAATGGAAATCAGCTACATAGTTGTTGAAAGAATCACAATGAGAGCAAATCCTTGAGTCTGTATCTACTATAAGCAACAAACAAATATCCATATTTCTGATAGGTAGGAGGATGTCTGCAAGTCATTTGGCAGTAGCATGATATGGGGAATTTGTCATTTCCAGGATTGGACTTAGTGGCACGTTCTCCTTGTGAACTTTTGGCAGACCATATAAACGAGGAATCACGGAACCAGAGAGTCATATTTGTTCAAATAATTCAGAGCTGATAATCAATTCGTTCTTCATCTTCTTCAGCATTTGTGTTATCTTTCCTTCAATTTGTTCCATTCGGTCTTCCTGGTTACTTTCTTTTGAAAATTTGTTTTCATCTGACGTGATGGAAAATAAATTTTCAAAAGGAAGTTATCAGGAAGACAGGTTCCGTGATTCCTCTTTTATATGGTCTGCCAAAAGTTCACAAGGAGAACGTGCCACTAAATCCAATCCTGAATATGACAAATTCCCCATATCATGCTACTGCCACATGACTTGCAGACATCCTCCTACCTATCAGAAATAATCTCTGCAAGCATAGTGTTTCAGATTCATTTGAATTCGTCGATTCAGTAAGTGATATTAATGTATCCGGGAAGAAAATGACATCCATGGGGGTTACGTCCCTTTTCACCAAATGTCTATAATGTCTGGTAAACTGTAGTTAAAACTGAAATAGGAGCATTGCTGTTCTCTTTTAAGGCATCTATTGTCAATCAGCTGCAGACCATTACAATGCTAATAAGACAAAGTTTGTTGGTTGTTAAAACGTTTATTTAGCAATTTTGATTTACGATAGCAGTATGTAAAATAGACAAAACCTACAATTCACAGTAGTCCTCAAGTTTCTGTAGGCGTTTTAACCTGAAAAAACACCTAACAAAGGTTTGATTTTGCAGGTTACCAACTTATATCCTTGCCTGAAAACAAACCATTTCGGATAGATAGAAAATAACAGTGCTGTTGGGAAGTAACATTAGAATCAATAGAAACATTGTCTCAAGCACCTGATGAGCCGTCAGCTATCTCGAAAACTCTAACAGGAGCCAACTAACTTGAAGAGTTGACTACAGTCAACATACTATGCTGTGGTAAACGCTTCACTGCTTCAATGTAGGAGTACAATTCAAAATTAGATATGTCTAATTTTATATAGAATACAGTACATTACACTAGTTACTGACTAGTGTGCAATCAAAAATATCCACTACAGTCCTACAGGAGGTCAGTCGGGAGCCTGAATAGCTCAGTGGTAACGTCTCTGACTGCAGCACTGGGTGATGCGGGTTCGAATCTCAGAAGGGACATCAGTTCCTTCAAGGTTGCAGATACGCCTTGCTGATGAGTGCCAACTGGCACGAAACCTAGGTCCAAGGCTTCCTGCCGATTGCCTCCAACCATCTAATACCAACATTGATACAGTAATAATAACGATGGTTTTTCTAGCAAAACTTATTGCTCGTATTTATATCAGTCATCGATATGGTTATGAGCAACAAATACCACTTCTTCGTCGACTCCAATTAAGAGTGGGCTAGGACTGACATTTTTAAATAAAGTAAAAGCTGGAATCTGGTAGGAAAAGGAAGACACACTACATCCCGAAATAGAGACGGAAAACAAGTTGAGAAACAGATGAATGATCAAACAGATATCATGAATGTGGTGAAAGCAAAAGATACAGAGCGTTAGCGAAAGGTAATCACCATAGGCATCCACAGTAATTAAAAGAATTTCTGAAGAAGACTGATACTATAAGAATGAGTTTGGCAACTTTGGTAGAGTAAAATTCCATCATAAGAAAAAGACATACACAGAGAAGAGAATTTTTTGACGATTTATTTTCAAGAAGTATACAGCCGTAATTATAATTTTTATAATTTCCAGTTAGTCATCCCCATCTAGATTACACGTTACATTATTTAATACATTCTCTAGGATAAATTTATTAGCATCCGATTGGTCTTATGGATTCTTTGTAAAGTATAATTACATTGTACAGCTTATGGAAATGAATCGTCGGAAAGAAAATTTTCTTGGTTGTTGGCGTCTTTTTCTTATAACTCTACATGAGAATATTCCGCTCATACAATTCCATTAGAGAAAAGTTTTATTTGATAAAATACACTGTGATACAGTTTTACTTGCCAACAAGTTTTCCGGCACAATTCATTGCTCAGCCTTTCTGAATGTTGATGATTTTACATTCAGCATTTGAATAAGAGCTTACCTTTATTCAAATGTCAGCTTGTTGAACCCTGAAACACAACCAATAGAATTAAAGCCTTACCAGCTGATTTGGAATTGGCTATCATACATTTCAATTAAGATGTGTTTTCATATTCACTGGAATGGTGTGACTAACAGCATTCACTTTTGAGACCAACTGCACTATACTGTCGAAGATGGTGTTTCTAGTAAGGATACTATTTAATTCATATTTATATACACTTACCCAATATACCTGTGTTAACCTTTAGTTATCCGGACTCTGTCAAATCACTTTTGCAAATGGGGACATGTCTTTATTGTTACCTCAAAAGAACCATTTTGAAGAGCTTGAAGGTTTTTTTAATGCAATCGGACCATTATTATTATTATTTGCGAAAAATTTAGTGTATAAGTGACAAGCTGGTCATTGCATATAGTTCGTAAAGACTAAACCTAATGCATTTGATGCCTAGGAATTCGATAATTTGCCGAAGTATGTATATTAAGAATTATGCACCGTTGTAACAACTACAGCAAATGATCCAGGCCTAGTTTAACGGTCGGAACTAAACCCGGAAAAATAGGAATGGTTGGTTGTGGGACTAGAAACCTCATCACATATAAAACAACCCTATCGCCACGTAAACTTCAAAGCACGGAGAAAAATATGGAAAAAATTGTCATCCACGGGAGCATGAATGACGCACCATGCTTGAGAATGGCTAGAAAGGTTATTCAGATTGTACAAGAAACGAGAAGTATAAAGCATAGAAGTACTGGGAATCCATGAGAGTGGATGAGA